AAAAAAAAAAACTCGAGTTCTCAAATATTCAGTGCTGCTAAACTGCAAGCACAGATACTTTTCGAAAATGTTGCACAGATATCACAAATGTCCATCTGCAAGTTTCCTTCGACTCTTGATTGCAAACATAGATAGCACCGATGAGAAAATGCCATTGAATTTGCTGGGGATAGGGTACAGTACAAACTCCGCCTTTCTACAGTGCCAGCTTGCTGCGCCATAGCTTTACGCCATAGTTTATCCTTTTACTTTGAAACTTTTCTCCCCCATCGTTTATACTTTGCCAAATCCAAAGACTATAGGGCCGCTTTTCGATAAACAACAGTCCCGTTCAAGGCCGGCACTAGCCCGATGCCGATGAGACTATCCTACTTTTCCTTGTGTTGCGTTTTCATCAATATTATCATCTTGCTAATTCCATCAATATTATCATCTTGCTAAGTCGGGAAGACCTTAATCTGGAACGAAGACGTCTAACTGTAGGATTTGTGAACATATGATCGTACTTGAAACCGCGGACGTGACGCAATTTCGCATCAGATCATAAAAAATCATTTGCGCCCACCAGTTATCATAAAAACATCCATGTAACCATCGTATTCCGTAGGATTCTACATTAGCCAGCCATCCCGGCAGCGTTACCCGGTAAGCACACAAGGCTTGTGAATCCATCTCCCAAACGACGATAATGTTTTCCTTGACATCAAACCCAAGGACGAAACCAAAAACCAGCGGTTGCAAGAAGACACTTTTTTAAGCGTCTACTTAAGACTGTCCCACTCGACTTTCTCTCTTTCTACTGCTTCCCGTGCCAAAATTGTAGGCACATTCTCACAACCGTATCATTACCCTTGCCTAAGTACCGTGACGATCACACATGATGAGCATGACCTGCTGTGGTATGAGTATTTCTACTGCCTGTTCAGTTGATTGCTCTGCTCCCTTCTAGAGCATTCTCGATTGCACCAATGCGTGAATTTCATTCAGTTGATGAAGTTCAATGGATAATGTGTCCCATGACGCACACAGATTGGGAAGCATCAAACTCCATTAGGAGACCATTCGTTACTTTTCTGTCTGGAATACTCGCTAACGTTTCCCGTGCCAGTGCCGTTCCACAGCCGAACACCGTCGATGTTGCGGAGGTTGATCAATAGATAGAGGTAGGATCCGGCAAGGCGCTGGGATGGCGTTGGCACAGCGCCGGAACTCTGCCAGCACAAGTGCTTGGAGCCACGAGTAAAGCTGAGGCATTGTTGGCACCACACTGACTCGTCAAATTGCAGGGTGGGAGTACTGTTCTGCCTATTCAAACATCCTCAGCAAATAAACTCAAGTCTAGGTGTGACTCATCAACCGTCAAAAATCACCAAATCCCAAATGGAAACATGCATGTCTATGAAAATCGGATGGGAAACGTGAACGCTTGAGGGGAATACCGGTGAATACGATGTCTATGCACAAATAAAAATCTTGTCAAGGTCTCGTCTCAATCGAAGGCGAATTTATTATCAGCGATGCCGGCGCGACGCAGCTTTGCAACAACTATTATCGTAGAACGCGCACGTTGCAACACGTACCACTAGGCCTCCGCACTACCCGCTCTCATACGTTTGTATGAACATCCGTCTTTTGAATCTCCATCCAAGCAATAATGACGAATTTCAAGCCAAAGGTAATCAAAAAGGTGCATAACCTTCATCCTATAATTTTTCAAGAAACCGAGGGAATTTATTTCACTGAGGAACCTAATCGACAAGCTTATTAAACAGAAACAATATTCCAACAAAACAAAAACAACAGCACTGTACAGGGCCACTACAGGCCAGAAAACAATCAGTACAGAACTCTGCATGGTATGACTGGGTGACTTATCCATAGACTCTTGAAGTATTGACAGTCTCATCTTGCATTTCAGCATCTTCGAATGTAAGTTCGTCCAGCATTTCGGCCAACGTTGGAGCATCCGGTATGGATTCATCGTCTTCGTCAACAGGTTGCTTGAGTTTCTCCTCATCCTACGGATAATGACCGATTGAAGCGCAAGCATAAAAAGAAATATTTGCACTACCTTATAAATGTTAATCTTTTCTCGCAAAGCAGGGTCTTCTTCTGCATCTTCCATAAACCTATGAGAACGTAAGAGTGTCATTCGAATGACTGGTAAAACTGCGCTCAATAATTCACTCCAGCAAAACATAATAAGATTTTACCTCTGGAACTCGTCCGCGACACTTTCGGTTTCATTACCCACGATATTACCATCTACAACGAGCCGTTTAAGCTTCCACTGACGACGCGCTGCCCTTCTAGCACGATCGTATACCTAGAAGGTTGTGAAATGACACAGTCAATGATCTAACTAAGAATTTAGTGAGTGCGTGAAGAGCTCTCAAACACAGAACAGATGAAAAGAGAAATTAGCTAGTCCCACAAAAAATGGCATCAAAAATAGTGTTAAAAAATTGCCAAGATTTACCTTCTTCACAATGACCACGTCAGGAATGTCCTCAGG